TTCACTTAACAACTCTGACAAAAAAGGTTGTAAAGTGGGGCAAAACTCACTTAACAACAATGTTCAGTGCTAACAATTAGCAATGGAAATGTTGGGTTCAATTGTAGGCGTAAAATGAGGACTACCTGTATAACACTAGCTTCCTTAAAGGACCAAAGTAGATAGAGGAAAATGGGTGGGCTATTGTAGCAAACTCATTAGGAAAATGAAGTAATCGCTTCAATCAACAAGTTAATACACTTTGTTTAGATCCAATAAGATTAGAGAGTTGATCAAAAGTCCTTTGGACAAATGTGAGTTTTGAAAGGGAAGTAAGGAAGGCGGTTGCAGTGAAGCATATCGGGAGATGTTTCAAGACATAACAAAGGAAACTGTATTGAATCGTATCAGAGAACAAGATAGCTTAGGACTTCTTTGTATGAATGAACAAAAGTCACAGAATCTGATGTGCTGGGAAATAAATGCGGAGAGATAAAGTGTGAAGTTCTAAAGGTAAGGAGAAAAAGATTATTAGGATCTAGAGGAGGAGAGAATGTCCCTGAATAGATTTAAGGAACCAAGTCATATAATAAGAACTATGGAATTAAGTGATAATTTAGATTAATTCCTGGATGAATGTGAGTAGATGGATGATGTCATAACAAAAGAATTCAGAAAGAAATACCACTGTTCTGAAATGGCTTTTCTAACAATGATGAAAATTCCCCCGCTTTCCAAGGATACGTGACAAATTCTCCACTCTAATCTTCCCTACAAGGACAAAAACCATCCACTGCAATGTTGAAACTTACTGATATTATGTCAGATTAAGGCAACTTGAGGTTTATTAAGCTTTCTGATAATCTATAAGAGCACTAATCTAGGTATAACAGTAGAATTTTGTAACTCCATATATATTTGGAAATATAATAGTTGTCTTGAATGAAACAAGTGTCCTAAAAATTTAATTTAAGCCTATGATTTCCAGAACTGAGAAATTAATAGCCTTGAGCACACATTGTTTAACATATTTTGTATCACGCACTGAAAGCATAAATTCTAAAAGGTTGTAATACTTCACAATTTTTTACTTATAATGCTTTTAATTGAAAGTGAAAGAAGAAATGTGTGGTGTATACAGTATATATAAAATAAATATAGTTGAGGAAACAATACAATATTGAAAGAAAATTATCCAATTTTCATTAATTTTATTTCAAAGTTAACGTGCTTATAACTACAGTTCAGGCAATACTCAATTCAAAATGTGCAGGCCATTTATTTTCCTAATTTTGAGTCAGAACAGATTTGATAAATTAAGAATAACAGTTCACCGTAATCCTAATAGCGCACAAAAACATTCTCAATTATTTTTATAAAAGGGATTATGCAGGCCCAATTGGCAAAAGATAGCCCAGGACTATATTGGTTGGAAACATGCGGAAGGGGCATACAGTGGATAGACAGTGGCTAGAATGATAAGTGGCAGAGGTGGTATTCAGCAGGTTCTGACCAGTTCTGGCAAATGCCACCTCTGACTGGAGATTTTATAGTATCCTTCCCCTGTCACGCCCACCAAGCCACGCCCATAGAACCTGTAGTAAAAAAATTTGAATCCCACTACTAATAAGTGGTCATGAGACCATATAGAGCTTTAAAGAACCTCATTTATAACACCAGCAAATTGCAATAAAGAATTCTTCTGTTGCATTAAACTAATTTTTATTGTGGTTTTATTTTTGATGGCCTCGCCAGTTTTGTGGGCTGCTGCATTTGACCAAATGAAATATCTATATGGTAACCTTACAATGCCACAACAAAAAGGCATGCTTTCAGCTACTAGTGTTCTCAGTCAAAAAATTACTGTATGTAGTTATTCTAATGTAAAAGCTTTATCTGAAAGCTCCTAATTATAAGATATCACAAGATTCTTGGTGTCAGTAATCTATACTACACTATATAGATTTCTTATAACAATAAATGCTAAGCTGGCTAACCCTTTTATTGCTTAAGTAAATCTTCCAATTTAGAGCTAAATTTATCTTTTAAAAATAATTGATATAATCTCATATACACTGTAAAATATTTTATTTTTATAGTGTGTATTTTTATATCAGCCTTGGGCTAGAATTAAAAATAAAGTGGACACTTGATAGAGATGTTGAAAATTATTAAATTCAGTAACAGACTGTTCTGTTGTTTCCTGGAGCAAGCTGCTTTCTTCCGGGTATGTAGGAGTGGCTCATAGTGTGTTTCAAAAATGGTGCAGCCCTGAAATTTGTACATCAGTGCAGAGAGAAGAAAAGAGAACATTTCCAAGAACATTGAAATATTTTGTTAGTGGGCCCTGGAGATTTATTGCTTTTTAAAAATCCCTATAAATTAAGTCAGAATGAAAAGGTCCATATAAAGACTAATCACAATTTTTGTTTTATCCAAGAAACAAAACTGTATCTCATAAAGCCAGAGCATTTTTAAACGGTCTGCCTTGCTGATCTTAGCATCTGGAAAAGTTCATATAGTGCTGAGATATGTGATCTTTAAGCTAATCAATCCCTAAAATATTTAGATTATTAATGACTAAACCCAACATTTGAAATCATAAATGGAAAGCATTTGACAAGCAGTGCAGATCCTTTAATATGGCTGTAGTATATGATGAATGCACAAATTTGCAGTCGAGTCAGATTTCCTTCAATATCATCTCAAGAATAGGCTACACAAGAGCAAATTGCAGCAGTTAAACTGGGATGTAACCAAAACATATTGCCAAGTGCAAATGGCTAAGTTGCAACTAGCACATTGTATAATACAGTCCAGAGACAGCTGATCTTCAAGCATTCCCAAATTGCAGATTCCTTCCTTCCTTCCTTCCTTCCTTCCTTCCTTCCTTCCTTCCTTCCTTCCTTCCTTCCTTCCTTCCTTCCTTCCTTCCTTCCTCCCTACCTCCCTCCCTACCTACCTACCTACCTACCTCCCTACCTCCAGAAGAGGCTTAACTCCAACTGAAGAACTGGTTTGTTTTTAACCAAAAATTCTTTATCATGTTTGAACTTAATTTCAGTATAACTTTAGTTGTATGCAAGCTTTGAAACAAAAACCCATTTATAATTAAAGCAATATAATCTGCTATTTTATGGAAAAAGGATACATAGAACATAAATAACAGAGTTGGAAGAGACTTTGGAAGTCTTCTAGTCCAACCCCGTTTAAGCAGGAGACCATATTACATTTCAGACAAATTCAGTCCAGTCTATCTTTGAAAGCCACAAGCGATAGAACACCCACAATTTCTGAAAGCAAGCTATTGCTCTTATTGTTAGGAAATTTCTCCTTAGTTCTAGGTTGCTTCTCTCCTTGGTTAGTTTCCATCCACTGTTTCTTGTCTTGCCTTTTGGTGTTTTGGAAAATGACCCTTATTCTTATAAAAGCCCCTCAAATATTGGAACACTGCTATCATGCTTTCCCTAGTCCTTCTTTTCACTAGACATACCCAATCCCTCTAACCATTCTTCATGTTTTAGCTTCTAGCATACTAATCATTTTTGTTGCCCTTCTCTGCACACTTTCCAGAGTCTCAACATCTTTTTTTTTATCTTGTGGTGATCAGAACTAGATACAGTATTGCATGTGTGGTCTTACTAGGTTTTTGTAAAATGGTACCAGAACTTTGCATGATCTTGATTCTATTCCTCTGTTAATGCAGCCTAGGATTGCATTGGGTTTTTTTTTGGCTGCTGCTGCATACTGTTGGCTCATATTTATGTGATTATCACTTACAACTACAAATTGAACCCAAAATTTCCATTTCTAAGGAAGACAGTTGTTAAGTGAATCTTGCCCCATTTTACAACCTTTGTCATAGTTGTTAAGTGAATCACTGCAGTTATTAAGTTAGTAACACAGTTGTTAAATGAGTCTACTGCATTTGCTGCAAGCTGTTTGGGTTCTCAGGCAACAGCATGGCTGTGTCTGCGTAATTTTCCTTCCATTCAATGTTGTATGATTCACAGGCACTGCCTGGATAAATCCCTGCAGTTTTCTTGGCAAGGTTTTTCAGAAGTGGTTTTCCATTGTTTCCTTTCTAGGGCTGAGAGAAAGTGACTAACCCAAGATCATCCAGCTCCCTTTGTGCCTAAGGGAGGACTAGAATTCACACTCATCTGATTTCTAGTTTGATGACTTAAAATTGGGTCATGTCCATTAATTTCTCCAACCAACACTTCCATATGCACAATAATTTCATTGTTAAATAATCAAAGGGACAGCACAGCACATATCCTAGTCATACTTTCAGCAGATCACCAATTTGCTATAAATACCATTCTCACATGTGGTTTATTTCCATATATAATTGCACTGAACAGCAAATTGAAGCCTTCTAGTGTATAAAATATATCAAGCCTATTCCCTTACTGTCTCTAAATCAATAAACATACAATAAACTGAATTTTCAAGGACTTGTTCAAGCATCTGCTGCTCAACGTGGCATTAGTTAACTGAGGTTTTCACTAAATGCATTTGAGCAATATTGTATGGCTAAATCATAAGGTGCCGCAAGAAACGTTCCTTCTGACTGGAAAATTTGGGCCCATTTTGCAGAATATGCCACAAAGGTAATCAAAGCGCAGTTGTACCACAAGCATGTTTATACTACAATACTATATGCAAACCGATCTTCATTGTAGAAAACAGCTTATAAGCTAACACAGTTTCCTACATTCCCTCCTTACCCCCCCCCCCCCCCCCCCAAAAAACCTTGGCGACAGTTGCATCGTACTGACACATATTCACACATGGGATGAGTTTTCGAGATCTCAAAAATCATTAGTTGAAAGCGCAGACTCGCATCAAGTGCAAACGGCTCTGACAGGTCGATCTTTCATTTGCCATCAGTCCGCCACGCCCCCGTACCTCAACCACGTGACGTAAATGCGATGCACGGGTCTGGACGTCGCGTTTTGTAGGCCGTGCCGTATTCGAGAGCGGCGCGTTGCTGGATGTCGCCATCTTGTCTGTGGCTCGGCGTGGGGGGCGCCATCTTGTGCCCTTTGGATGAATGAACAAGCGACGCGAAAGAGTCCATCCGGTTTGCTCCTCGGCTTCGTTCTTCAGCGTGGCCGACCATGGGGATCGACCTCGTCCACCTCTTGCTCCTTCTGTGCCTGGGCAGAGCGGCCCTGGCAGCTCCCGAGCTGATCAATGAAGACGTAAAGCGGACCGTGGACCTCAGCACACACCTGGCCAAAGTGACGGCCGAGATAAGCCTGGCCAACTCCGCCGGGAGCTCGGCGTCTGCCACGTCTTTCCTCCTGGCTTTGGACCCCGGCTTGGAGAGCCACCTGGCCTACCTGGGGGCGCAGGTGAGCCAACCGCTGGGCCGTCAAGCTCTCGGCCTGCTTCTTCTGGCGCTCCTTGAACCCGGATGCCGCCCTCCCTCCTAGCCAAAGTCTGTTACTTTTTTTTCTTTTTGGTGATCGGGCTTTTCGTTTCCACGTTGTCCGTTTTTAGACGAATCTGTGCCTTTGAGTTTCTCTTCCTTGTTTTCTTCTTCTGTTCCTCCGCTCTCTTCCCCAGCATTACTCGGCTGTTACGTTTCCTCTCCACCCTTCCTACTTCCAATTTTTGGTGGAAAGGAGCGGTCTCGCCGGTTAAGTCCTTAAATCGGCGGTTGTTATGGCGATTTGGCTGAATCGGTGGAATACAGGGAGATAAGGAGCGGCGATCGTGTTATAAGCCAGACGCTCATGTCAGCCAGAATGGTTGGATAACACCTTTTATCATCTTTTGCCCAGTTTATGTTGGTTTTGTGGGCCTTTGTGAAAGTTTTAACGCATTGTATTTGAAAAGCACCCAGTTGGAGAGAGCAGGGCACACACCATGGCAGAAATATAGACAAAACCCACCCATGTTGTGGGTATAGAGAAACTCCAAAATCTTCCAGGCTTTTTGGTGTGATGAATTGTAAATTGAGAATACTGAACAGTGGACATATAATTTCACTGAAATACGATTACATTTCATCCAAGATTGCTCTTGAGATGCCCTTTTGGACTTTTGCCAGCATGCCAGTTCAAATAATAATGCCATTTTGTGGCCAGATTCACCCCTTTTCTTTGCTTCCTGTTACTCCTGTGTGTTGATTCTCTTCCAGAGTGCTGCTGTAGTAAAAAAGCCTGGTGAGTACTGACACGTAAGCACAGACTATTTCCAAGAGCCATGAGCAGCTAGTTTAAATCAGAGGGAGGTGTGGCTTTCAAAGCCTGTCCATGTCTCTTCAGCTTAATATTGAAGCTGCTGGCAATAGTTTGTAGCATTTATTTTTCTCTACGCATCCTGGCTAACTCTGGTGAAGGAAAAGTTGGATTGGATTCTCTTGAGATCCTTGATAGAAGTTGCTAAACACTTTGTTGCTGTATCATATGTTAATTAAAAGTTTTAACAGAAGCTTCATCTTGAAAAAACTACCAATAATATTTTGCATTGGTTCCACTGTTAGGAAGCAAGTGCTCTTAAATGATTTTATTGCGCAAGTTAGTGTGATTTTAAAAATTAAATTTGGAGTCAGGCAGTCCAGATTAAGCTAATTCAACTAGAGGAAAATAGTATAATTGTTTGAATAATGGCATTTATCAATGCCAGTGTGGGATTGAGCTGAGATCTGGGCTGTGGCAACTAGTCTTCATTTTCAGTCCATTAAAAAAGATAGGTTTGTGATTTACAATTCTATTTCTTGAGTTCAATGTGAATTTATAATTATAGGAGTTGTGTAGAATAGATATTCTGCTAATTTGTATCTGCTGGATCATTTCTAAAATTGGCCTGCGTTATTAAATACAATTGAACAAACTCCAAAAAGTAGCCCTTCATTCTTTGCATAATCCTTGGATAAACATAGCTCTACTTTTGGGTAGAATATTATAATTTTTTTTTAGGAGGAGAATCACTTTTGTAACTCTCCCTCTGTGTGGCATGTGATGAGGGAATTTGAATGTTGCAATTCAACACACCAGGAAGGGGTACTAAATTATTCCTTGTTTGGTCATGGAGAGTTTTTCTTTTTCTCTTTGCCTTGAGGGTAAAAATGAAGTTGGCAAAATCCACTTTTTAAGTAAATTTTAAGAGACTTTTATTATTTATTTTAATGGTAAAAATGTATTTTTGGACCTATCTCAGCTATTCTTTCCCAAGAATTCCAGTAGGATAGTTTTAAATGAAACCTGTGCCATAGGTCTCTTCTATTACTGTTTTAAAATTGGGTCTCTGAATGCTGTTTTCTTTATTGACAGTGAATGCATAGATGCAATAAACCAATATTACTTAGTAAAAATCTCAGTGAAGTTGAAGAATTAAAGAGAATGTATTTTTGTAACCACTAGCAATGTTGCTAACTTCTGCAAAATTCTAATTGGAAAGGAAACATTTTCTTTTTCCGTAGATAGTTTGCTAGAGAAAGAGGATTTTTTAAAAATTCCTAGTTGGATTTTTGAGGGAAATAGTTATGTATTTCTTATTGTTTTCTACAATTCTTTTATTAACCATAATGTTTGTGCATTCTAAAATAGGAATACAACACATTTGATACATATTTATCAATTTCTGATATGTGATGTTTTAGGTTTTAAGAGTTATGAGTAGTTTTAGTAACAATCTTTAATTATTAGCATGTGCCTCAAATTAAAATGTGTTTTTGGTATCTCTACTGACTTGATCTTTCTTGGCAAATAGCTTACATGAATTCTATTGCCTTGTTTGGGAACTGTCAATGGTGACACCAATCAACATTTTATATAATTTTTTTGAACAGGTAAAAGCTGAAGAAGAGGAGGAAAATATCCTGGAGGTAAAGGAGACAAAAGTAAAAGGTAAAAGGTAAGTCTTGTCATGAGGAAATAAGGGCTGATATTTCTATTTCATCTTTTTAAGAGTACTTTTAAAAATGTAATCTTCAGTGGGACCTCAAAAAAGTCAGATGTTTAATTAGATTGTATAAATAGGCTGATACCTCAGATTCAATTTTATAATTGGTTCTCTTTTGACTGCCTGCACTATTTTTAGAAAAAGATAATGTGCCAAAAAAAAAAAGTTTCCTAAAGTTGTAAGACATAGTGATTCACAGAAATGCAGTCTGGTTAATATGTTCTTTATTTCACATTATTGTATTAGCATTGAATACATTGCATTGGTTTTTAAATATATGTGTTGCTTTAAAACTATAAGAACTAACCAGGGAAAATTGCCCAGTCCCATGACTGATCAAGATTCCTGATAGTAGTGAGCTTATTTAGAAGCAAGGAACGTAGAAATAGTCTGACTGATTTTCTACTTTTTTCCCCCCTCTTTTTAGTGGCAAATTCTTCACTGTGAAATTGCTGGCTCCTTTGCCTCCAGGTGGAAAAATTCGTTTATCTATTGAAACCGTTTTCACACATGTCCTGCAACCCTACCCCACACACATCTCTCAGGCAGAGAAGCAGTTTGTGGTTTTTGAAGGTAATCATTATTTCTACTCTCCATATGTAACCAAGACCCAGACAACTCGTGTGAAACTGGCCTCAAGAAACATTGAAAACTACACCAAGTTAGGCAATCCCAGCCGCTCAGAGGATATGATTGAATATGGACCCTTCAAGGATGTACCCCCATACAGTGAGGTAAACTTTTACTTGTGACAAAGTGACAAAGAATGAATTGAATAAAAATAAAATTTAAAAAAAAACGGTCTTGTATTTAACGACTTAGCTGGTTGCTATAGCATTAAAGAATTCTGCCTGGGTAAAAAAAGGAAATCTTTGCAAGTGACTTGCTAGATGGTGCAGGATAGGATGCTCTTTTAGTGGTGCATTTGTAAAAATTGGAACCTTTTATGATCTGTCATAAAACAGATACAAATAGTCCTCTGCTTACATCCATTTGTTTAGCAACAATTCAAAGTTATGATGGTGCTGAAAACAAATGGACATACAGTCATCCCTGAAGTTCCAGCCATTGCAGTGGTCATGTGATTGGGCTCACTTGCCTGGCTTGTGATTACAATGTCACAGGCAACTGCAATCATATCACCATCTGCTGCCTTCATTGAGTTTCCCAAGTCCTCCCAGCCTCCCGTTGTATGTTTGTGCTCCTTACCTGGGATTTCCACCACTTCTTGCTTAATAGCCTATATGTCTTGGGGTTACAACAGCAACTGGGACTATTGGAATTGCTGTCACTAAGCTATTTGGTCATAATGACAGTGTGCTTTAGGGTTCCTGAGCTACAGATGTTCTGTTCTTTTGGTTATATTGTGCTGTACAACCACATTGTTTAGCAATGCCAGTCTTGGTCCCATTATAAATCAAGGACTATCTTTAGACAGCATTTATACACTGGTTACGGAGAAATGGGACTACCCCTGCCCAAGGCTTGCATGGGAATAAACCCAAGTATGTAAGCAAAATGGCATATACCAGCAGTGTCAAACTCACATCATCATGGTAACATATTGGGACTTTTTCCCCCTTCACTAAACCAGGCGTGGCCAGTGCGTGACACATCCAGCCCATGGGCTGGGAATTTGACAGCTCTGGCATATACAAATCCCGATAACCCATTTTTTCAGCCATGTAAATAGATTCCCAAATCAATAGCCAGGTTTCTTTAAAAAGACAGTTCCTTTGAATATGAGAAGCAGTACATTCTCCCACAGGTAATTCTCAGTGTGGGTATTAGAAATGTATTCCCTCTAGTATGTAGTACCATACCACTTGAACAATAATGAATTATATTAGGGTTAGGAAATCTGTTTTGGGGAGAATTATGTTCATGATATATTCCTCTTTCTCCCCCCCCCCCCCCCCCCAAAAAAGAAAAGAAAAGAAAAGAAAAGACTAATGGATCAATAATCAAATCCAGATCTATTACTTGCTAAAATCAGGCTGAATACAATGCACTTTTATCTCTGAACTCACTGGCTCTTAACAGATCAAGCAGACAGGTTTTAAGTTTAGGCTCAGCTGTAAAGAATTGGGGGAAATGATGCATTCATGAACATCTAAGAATGGTTTTTAATATTTAGAATACAAAAGGCTGTGATTTATGTAAGAAATTAAAATCCAGTTTATGCTGCCTTTGAGATTTTGTGGCACAGATAATTAGCTGGCATTTCATGAAATCACTAACTTTAATATATTTTAAATCCAAGATGTAGTTTAAAAAATATCAGTGTGACTTTACTAGCTGGTCATGTAAGTGAAATGGCTACTACTTGAAATAAATATACATTTTCTCTATTATATTTTTCTTTTTCTCAGGATAACCTTAAGATACATTATGAAAACAACAGTCCATTCCTGACGATTACCAGCATGATACGTGTCATTGAAGTGTCTCACTGGGGTAATATTGCAGTTGAAGAAACAGTTGACTTAAGGCATACAGGAGCTGTACTCAAAGGACCCTTCTCCAGATACGACTATCAAAGACAGCCAGATAGTGGAATATCTTCCGTGAAATCTTTTAAGGTTTTTCATAATTTCTTTTATTTATTGTTGTATTGCTTTCTTTTAAGCAATATCGTCATATTGTGAAAATGAGTCGCAATAAAGTAGCCATAAGCCAACTATTGAAGGAGGAAAGAGGAGGACATTTGGAACAAGTAGTACTTCTCTGCTTTGAGAACATAAATGTTTTCTTGTTTTCAGCTCCTTTTAAAGTCCTGGTTCTATCTCTTCCATGATGCAATATCCTAAAATAGAAAGTTTTAATAAGTATCATATTACTTACTAACTAGTAGTTAATAAGTAATATGATACTTAACTATTAGTATTACTATTATTTTTTTCTGCTGCTCACTTGTGGCATCCATCTGAATCTCATTCTCTGGTTCATTTGTTCAAAATATTTTTGTAAGCTCATTGATTTGTTTATTTGTAAGTAAATCTTATTTAAAAATGCTTAGAACATAATGTTTAATAATGTTTAGCGGGGTTGTTTTTTAAAAATAAGACTATATCAGGGAAGTGAAACAGCTTTGTTAGTACACTACAAAGGTGCTGAGATGAGTAGGAGCAGATTCCAGAGCAAATGGAAGAGACATATTTACTTTATGGAAGAGACATATTTACTTTAATGATTTGTAAAGATGTCCTTCATAAACGTTCTTGTGAATTCTGAAGGACCCCTATCAAAAGATTTGCAAAACTCTTATATTATTTTTATTGTATGTGGCTGATAATATCAGCTGTGACTATATCCGGATGGAAATAGCTTGGCTATATTTTATCTGTATTGTGTAAGTGTCCCTTGTAGATAATTGTTAATATGTGATACATGGAATTTTGTTTTAAAAAATGGAAACTGCAAGTTTTAAAAAGTAAGCCATAAGATTTCATTGAATTGACATTTTGATCATGCTGTATTGTGCTTTACTGATGACACTAGTTCACATTTGGCTTATATGTCCAGTTTATGATTTATCATATAAACAAAGAATGAGAAAACTTTCCTTCTTTCTCATCTTCCTGGAGAGCTGTATTCCCTCAATGAAAAGTGTTCAGGTGCTGTATGATTTAGTGCAGGGGTCCTCAACCACCGGGCCGCGGACTGGTACCGGGCTGTGGAGCACTCTCTACCGGGCCGCAAAGAATTTTTTTTTTAAAAAAATGGCGGCTTTCTTCACCTTCGGTGAATGCTGCTGGGATCGGGGATCAAGGACACAAATGAAAGAAGGGGAGGGAGGAAGCAACCGAAGCCTGTCCTTCTCTCTGGGTCAGCTCTCTCAGTCGCTCTCTCGCTCCTCCACCAGCACAGGAAGAAACTGCTTCAAAGAAGCGGGGGGGGGGG